AAGGCTGTACTTTTGCTGTCATACCTGGCACGGAATGCAGTCCAGGTTCGTTTTACGGAGGAAGGAGGTTCTCAGTCGGGGACCGTACCATCGTTTCCCTGAGTGGCTTACGGACGGGGTCTCATTCACGGATGCCCCTATCCACAGGCTACTTTCCACCTGATTTCTCCCAGTGTACACGGACAGACGGGCCGACCTCAGGGCCGCTGGAAGGCGGCCCCTGCAGCGGTCCTCCTGCAGTCCCCTTGCGTCCTTCTGCAGCGGTCCTCCTGCGCCCCCTAGCCTTGCCTCAGCGGGCGACAAATGCCGTGTATGACTCCGTCATTGCAAGGGGGCTGTATTTATCTCGGGCGCGAGGCATTTTACACCCGGACTCTGCGATGACTCAACAGCAGCACCCACCAGCCAGGCGTGGTTTGGGGGGCGGGGGTGGGTGGGTCGCGCCGGCACGAAACGTCAGACTCGTGCGTCATTGCCGTCACGTCATCGTCGACAGCCCGCTTCGCCGATCCAGCGCTTCACCGTTCCAGCCGCGGCCAAAGCCGGAGCCGGCGCATCGATGCGCGGGTCGGGCACTGCGCTGCCGCCGAGCTCCGTCGCGCGTGAGAGCGGGAAGGCGGTGCATGGGCTTTGCCAAAGGTCTGGCTTTCACAGGCTTTGTACAGAACTATGACGTCACTGGTGCCAAGACTTCAATGCGGCGCGGTCGCTAGCCGTGGAGGGAGGGATGGAGGGGGGGGGGGGGGGGGACCGCTGCGTGACAGCCGGAACATCGGAAATAGTCGTACAGATAATGAACAAATTAAACGCGAGGTGCATATGACCGACGTGCCGATGACGTAAAACTTAGTGACGAATATGACTGTGTGCTATGGAAGCCCATGCTCCTAAACATTAGGTGCCACGGAAGAGGCATGAGAGGTATAAACGTATTCACGGTGATTTACGATGTACCACAGCTGGAACACCGGGTTTTCTTCGTATCGGCAAAGAAAAGGCTGTTAGTGCCAGGTGCATATGACCGGGGAGCCAATCGCGTAAAATTTAACCCAAGTGTGATGATGTGCTTTGCAAGCTTGTGTGGCCAAGCATCACAATGTGCCAATCGACTCACAAATTAGAAAGCCTCACGCGAAAACTGCTGCGGAGATCGGCGAACAGGACATCGGACCGTCTCCGTACCGAAAATTGACAGTGTTTGGAGTTGGTGCATATAACCGGGGGTCGAATGCGTAGAATGCAATGGTGAGTGGGATGATTCGCCAATTAAATTTGTACTGGGTGCTGACGTCGACAAATAAAGTCTAAGCGAGCTAGAAAGTGAGAGGTGCACAGAGGTGCGGAAAATAGGGATGGGGATAAGTCCACAACTTCCTTGAAATTGAGTACCGCCCCCTTGATGTGCGTATGCCTCGCGGTTAAAATGCGATCAGTGTAAAAAGCGAAAACGTGCGCGCGCAGACTGGTAGAGGTATGCAGCCTGAATATCGAGCTATCTCCTTACCAGTAACAATAATATTGTTTCTGGTAGATGCGTATATCCGCAAACCCATCAGGTCGAAGCATATGGTAAGCATGAGCATGTGCTTTGCTAGCTTATATTCAGCAAAGCTGTTAACAGCACCATATTACAAACACATATGATGCATATTACATTATAACATCATATTCAATCAACGTGGGAAGTGAATACGTCTACGCAGGGGCGCAGGTACAAGGGGTAGTGATGACTCCCCAACTTCCTTAATATTTAGCATTTTCTCCTTGGGCCTAGACTGGAAAGAGCTAAATTAAATGGCTACCCCCCCCCCCCCTAATTTAGGAAAACTCGCGTTGCTCCCTTGCGCTTAAGAAAGAGCCGGTTAGCATACTCGCTGATTGCAAATCGTAAATTTGTTTTTGTGTGACTTATAAAGGACAGTAGTTACGGGGACTGTATTAAACAATGAAAACTCACCTTCTGTTACGAGGCACGAATGTTGCCGCGGAAGACTGAGCAAGTGGTAACCGACGCTAAAACACAGCCAGCCATGAACCAGGTTCACAAAGACGCGCGTGTTGCCCATTGTTTGTTTGGACGTCATGGTCATTTGTTTTGCCCATTTTGTGCCCCTTTGGTAGAGCTTGCTGCCCACACAAAGTATGCCCAGGGGTGGAGCAAATGTAAAAATTGGGGTGCTCTGCCACTTGTGCGAAACGCACAGAGGCTCATCAGCAGTACAGGTTACATTGTTCCGGCTAAAAGAAAGCCATCACAGGTACATATCGTGCTCTGCAACCCGGTTTGGCATCCATAACTCTACCCTCATGCCACTTTGTCAATAAACACAGCGACGCGCATGCGGACTGAGCACGGCCGGCCCCGTAGACAGCGTGCAGACCGATCACGGCGGAATGAAGACAGACACGGACCAACCAAGATGCGTCGGGCTCATCTAGCGCGAAAAATAACTGCAGCCTACAACAGACTGATCACGCCCGCCACTCACTCGCACCACCGGCAGCAGCACGACCACAGGGTGCGAGACCGTGTGAGACTGAAGTACATTGTGATGGCTTACCGCTTAAGGTTGTCACGTACATCGTCATGCCCGTCACTAAGTTTCACGCAATCGGATCGCTGGTCATATAGATCTGCCAAAGACAGTTTGTGGTGCGAAGACAGCCCAAGTTTCTGCAAACGAGTTAATGTGTGCACGTCTTGACTTTTCATGCCACTGCGTTTCATCTGTTTGCCGCATGGGCTTGCGAAGCACAGCATCACATCTGCGATACAATGCCGTGTAAGTGGCTGGCTGGTCATATGTACTTCTCACTAACGGATTTTCATCATCTGTATGAATATTTCAATGTTCCGGCTGTCTTTCAACCAGCCTCGTGTTCGACTCAAGCTGAATCTTGAATTAACTGATGGGCCAATCGTTTTGGGGTGAGCCACGAGCCGAGTAGCTCGTTATGAAAAATGCTGCTTTGAGCCATGAGCTGGATCACGTTATTTGTAAATTTCATGAGCTCAATCGTGATCAGAACATTTCTAGCAATATCTTGTCAGTGAGCCATATGGCTGAACTTAAAATAGGAACATGAGGAAACACAGCACGTGCCAGGCAAATTGACAGACCATTTCAGAATGTGAAATGCACAGCACGCAGCAGCACTGATTAGCTTTTTGGATAGTTTGTCATTGTAACTTCTAGGAAGCGAGCGCAATGTTTTTTTATCCAGATTCAAAGTTTATTAAATCTCAGGTGTACCGCCATAAAGAAGACATGCAGAATGCGGTGCGAAAAAGACATATGACCTTTTCACGGTTGGGCATGTTTTCAAAAACCGGCTGAGGCTGAAATCCCACAAAAAAGGATTGAAACAAGGGGGCTCCAAAAGGCGGTCACCGTAGTCAGGCACTCGTGCCATAAAAAACCAAAACCAAAACCAAAACAATCATCAGCGTCGCTATTATCCTGCTACCAGCAGCCGACGCTTCGGTACAGGACATGGAAGAAAGGTTCAGTCCCACAAACTTCCTGGTAGCTCAACCCAGACAGAGCGAGAGTCCCATCATAGCGAGACGTTCACGCTGTTCAGCATTCTTCCTGCGGGGGTGGTCAACACGACCCGGGGGACGTCCGCCCTGGCTGGGTGCAGTTCCGTTCGCTACTTGCAGATGACTCCTCAGAGTCTGGCCAAGGCTGAGTTCCGAGTCTGGACGCCCGTCTCCTGAGAGTCTGGCCAAGGCTGAGTTCCGAGTCTGGAGCCCATCTCCTGAGTGTCTGGCCAAGGCTGAGTTCCGAGTCTGGACGCCCAGGTGGCAGCTCAGCAGGGGGGTCGACTCCAGCCTCCGCGGCAGCTGCGTTTGATGGCTGTAGTCCGGTATCTCTCCCGGCCATCTACCACCTCCTTCAGAAGTGCAAAATGGCGTTGTGCCCTAGATTGAAGATTTTTAAAAAGTATCCTTTGATATGCCTTCATCAAGTGATCATATCCACCGGGATATGAATATGTTTAACGCAAACGCAGCCTCTGAATGATTTCGTCTTCGCAATGCCTCGGTCTATGTCCTGTGGTGCTAAACGCATTCGATACTCCTCCTGTTTCCGCGCATCTCCGCATACAGCTGGACGGCACATTGCGTCACAATGTTCCTCCTTTGCGGACACGTCATCGTGCTGGTATTTGCAAGGCGTTTCCTATTGGAATGATTTCACAGAACGATCGTCCCCGATCCGTTAGGTCCTAGTAGTCCTGCCTGTGTCGACGGCTGAGGCTGAACGCACCTTCAGCAAGGTCGAGGGGGCACCGACCTCACTCCGAGCTGCCATGGGGAGAGAAGACTAGAAGCTGCTAGTAATGTGTGAAGCGCACCAGTACAGGTGATGATGATGGTGATAGTGATTTGCGCACCGTGAACTTCTGCCCAATGCAGCGGACATTCGCCCAGTCTGGAGCACGGATAGGCGAGATTTGCCACGCGCTCTAAAGCTAGGCGAGGATTACTGCGACGCGTACCCGCAGCTTGCGACGGCTGTGTTGGCGTTATAATTACATATATATATATATATATATATATATATATATATATATACATATACATATATATATACATAGAAAACACACACACAACACATATATATATAATATTATATATATATATATATATAATCTAAGCATGTTTGGGTGTGATTGTGAGAGCCACTAGGTGTTTAAGCAACATTCTACAAGAGCGTTTTCCCCCCAAAAATTAGAATCATTATGAGTCACAAACCGAATCGGATGCCAATCCGAATTCGAATCGGAAATCTACTCTCAGCATTACGTCCGGCGTCTGGCGGCCCGCGCGCATTGAAGTTTTTGGCACCAGTGACGTCACGATACGTAAAGCGGAGATGAAGCGAGAGTCAGCGGACGGCTTCGCTCGCATACGGCCGTGGGAGCGCCCAGTGTTCTATTGCCCCGTGGTGGCAAGCGTGCGAGGTGTCTGTGCTTGAGGATACTGAGGGGCCGCGCGCGGTACACCGGCCAGGGAACGACTCGCGGCACGCGGTGTGAGGTGCTGAATCTCAGAGTTCCGCGGCGGAGTGTGTTGGTGTTGCGCGTGACGCAGACTCGCCATGGCGCAGGTGAGGAGCGGGCCGACGCGGGGGCCGTGCGCCGGCCGCGCCCGCCGCCCGCGCATCGCGGAACGAGTCCAGTCTGACCTGGGCTGGCTCGCTGCCCGCTGGGCTGGGGGCACACAGTTGCGGGTCGGGCAAGTAGCGCAGGGCAGCGAGCGCCTGCTGTTGCACTAGCGTGCGGGCCTGGCGGTGCAAGTGCTGTCGTGTCACGCGCCCGGAGCTGGCGGGAGACATGGCCGCCTCCTCGCGGAGCCGAGTGAAAGGCGCGCGCGGTTGTAATGTGGGAGCCAGTCCCTGCAGTGTTTCAGACGCGGTAGTCTCCTATGACGCAAAGAGATGAAAAGAGGTGTGTTGCCGTAAGTCGCCACATGCGCTTCATCCTCTGCGTTTTGTTGTGTTGGCTTGGACGCGAAGTAGGCGGTGTGGTTTATTGACGATGTAAGAAATGGGCGGATGGTGTCCAGCTTAGGATTTACCTTGATAGGTATCAAGCGGTGCGCTTATGTGGGGAACTTTCAGTGCCCAGAAGCTCCCGAATGTGAAGACAAAACATGGGGCCGATTTGGCGGTACAATGCAAAGAGGCAGGCGTAGACGCCCTGAGGTCTTGGTGGCCAGTGCTGGGCGCGTTCCTTCGGCTGCGGGCACGACCTGCAGCGCGCTGTGCGTCTGACAAAACGAGCGCTTCATCTGCGACCCGAACGATACCATCCGCGCGGTATCTATCGTTGTACTTCACCGACATGGTTCCAACAGAGATTTTGCTTCCAAGTGGAGTTTTCCTGACACAGAAACAGACAGGGAATAATCTGTCCTCGGCTTCGCGGGAAGATCGGCACGTTTCCCTGCTTGGCCAGCGTCTGGCAAATATTTATCTGGCGGGAATGGCGTGAAGAATGCTTCACCACAGCGGATATCGCTCTTGTCTGGGCCGCTGTCCCGTGCTGCTGACGATCCAGGAGCTCATGAATCGCTGTGGAGACTCGCAAACTCGGGCCAGTTTGCGTAGTGTTTCCTCGGGGTCGCCAAATCATGCAGCATCAACAAGCGATGTCAGGGGACCAAGGTGGCCAAATCATAGAGCATCAACAAGCGGTGCCGGGGGACAAGGTGACCAAGTTATACGGCATCAACAAGCGGTGTCGGGGGACCAAGGTGGCCAAGTTATACAGCATCAACAAGCGGTGTCGGGGACCAAGGTGGCCAAGTTATACGGCATCAACAAGCGGTGTCGGGGGACCAAGGTGGCCAAGTTATACAGCATCAACAAGCGGTGTCGGGGACCAAGGTGGCCAAGTTATACAGTACCAACAAGTGGTGTCGGGGAATCAAGGTAGCCAAATCATACATCAACAAGTGATGTCGTGGGGACCAAAGTGGCCAAATCATACAGCATCAGCAAGCGGCGTCGGGGGACCAAGGTGGCTAAGTTATACAGCATTAACAATCGGTGTCGGGGAACTAAGTTCATATGTCAGCTGAGCTACTGAAGACAAAACCCTCCACGCCATCCAAGGGGCTCGCGTTGCATTCATTGCTGCATGCGTCTCTCAATGCACCGGGAGTGCGGGGATGGGGAGGGGCAGGGGACCACACTCCATTGCCACAGGTGGTACGCTTTGACATTCCGGGTGTAATTGCAGCCGACGACAGGTTGTTCGTGTCAGAGAGTGTACCGCGTGCTGACTGCACAACAGGTTTCCGGACGCAAGGAGCGCTTGGCTGCTGCTACCGCAGGTCTGGCTGAGTGTGGCGGCCTGCAGTGGCGACTGACAGCCAGAGGTCAGAACAAATAACACTCGGTGGGGGACCCTGCAAGAACAGCCGGCGTGTGAAATGCCACGAATGCCACGCTGTCGATCAGTACAGCTCGACTGGCCAACCAGAGCAGCCGTACGCCGGTTATTGGCCTAGATATATGCGATGCGTGCCCATGCGCCCGCAGGCCTCGTTATCAAGCACAGCATGCGGGCACATGAAGGCATTCACCGCCAGAATGATGTCGTAGCCGGGCTGACCTGGGTACGATGGGTCGGTACCCTGGGCTAGACTGCCTGCTGTGGGATGGGAGCCGGGTTGGCCTGTGTACTACGGGCCGGTAGCCAGGTTGGCCTTCCTACTACAGGATGGTAGCCTGGGCTGGCTCGCCGTACCACGGGATGCCTGCCTATTCCTGATCTGGATAGTTCTATTCAGGCTTTTATGGACACTTCGGAGCTGTATTGAACTCCCATGCACACTCTCACCCGGTGCACATATGGTTATTCTCATGCCCGTGGAACATGATTAATCAGGTCATAATGGGGGATAAAGGAAGAAGTCTGGGATGATGGATAGGATGTACGGCCTACGGATACTAGAGTACATATAAGAAACTAGTATGGAAAGCATCGGTAACGTTAGCATGGAGCGTTGTTCGCCTACCAGTATATGCGTAGCGCTCAACAAGCCTGAAGGAGCGCCTTAAAGGACAGCCATGGCGCCGACGGCGCCCGTCGCCGTTCTTCGGAAGTTTGTGCCCATTTTGCCTCGTCATCGCTGCCGAACAACGGCCCGCTGTTTTCGGTCGTCTTGGCGCAGGGTCGCTAGAGGTCAGCGCTCGCTGCAGTTGAGGCGCAGATGGAGGGCGTCAAAGGCCGGACCGAGGTACCGCCGGGGAGGCTGCCGTTCTCACAGGCCGCGAGCCAGTGAGTCTGTTGCCTCGTTGTCTCGCGTCATGCTAAAATTTCAGATATTAACTGTGTTGTTAGTGCGTGTTGTTGTTTGAATCTCGCCAATTTTTTTCGAGGGGAGCACTAGAAAAGAGAATGAAAATATTTTTCGAATCTCTTACGGTGGTATACGGTGCGGGCTTTTCCAATTTTACATTCAGAAGTGATTGTGGCGTTCAAGTGTTCCCTCTCCCGTACCGTCTGCCCTGGGTGGTTTGCTGATTCTTACTTGTCTCCCTCGTCTGCTGGCTGACCTTCCTGGTTGTAATCGAGTAAGTCGTTCGGTCAGGCGCATGTGTGCCGCTGAGTTTTGGGTCACCTGTCTTGGTTCCTGATCTGGTCCCGTGTCCCTGCTGTCTGCTCCCGGATCACTAGTCCCTGGTCCCCTGGTCGTCGGGTCCCCTAGTCCCCGGTCCCGTGATCCTCGGGTGCTCGGGTCCCGGCATGCCAGTCACGAGGTCCGCACAACATGCTGATGGTCCTAAGTGGATGCCAGCAGCACAGCTGCGCCTGTCACCGCTGAGGGGCCGCGCCGCCTGTCACACCGCTGAGGGGCCGTGCCGCCTGTCACAGCGCTGAGGGGCCGTGCCGCCTGTCACAGCTGAGGGGCCGTGCCGCCTGTCACACCGCTGAGGGCCGTGCCGCCTGTCACAGCGCTGAGGGGCCGTGGACACTGGGGCGCAAATAGCCATTGTATTTGACGCGCCCTTTAAACCATAGGGCTGTCTTTCACACCCTCTGACCTTCACGGGTTACACATCTCTGCTACCACTGGACGTCCCAACGGCCGGCCCGCTCCTCAATTGCGCCGGAATGACGCGTGGGTGTTGCTATGCGGCGGTGTGGCGATGACGGTAAAGGCACATGGAGCTCTAAGCAGGCGTGGGCCGTGAAGCGGCGCTGAAAATGACGGTGGTCTCGTGCCTTGACTGGCAATTCCTAGTGGTAGTCTGACCGAATTTGTTTATTGAACCGTCGAAACGTGGGTGTATTGAGTAACACAAGCCGGAAGGAAAAAAGTGAGGTGGGTATGGGGGGGGGGAGGGGGGAGGGAGAGGAGGCATTGTTCTCCTGCCCCTCCCTCCCGCAGCACCGAGATCGAATTTAAAATCAGCTACGTGTTGTACCACGGGTGAACCGAAGACTGCCGCCCACCATTCTCCTGGTGGCGTGTCAGGCATGGTTGGGCGATGACGCCGCGGTAATCTCGGGCCACACGTCTCGCCGGATGTGTGGGCGTATGGGCAGGGGAGGAGATGACCACATCCGTCAGATGACGCTCGTTCGGCGGCGCCTGATATGGAGCGTGGGTGGACTGGTTGCGATCGACTGCTGTGTGTGCAGTCGGCGCGCCTTATTGTTCGCATCGTCGCGCAGCGGGATGGGTGAGCGGAGCTCACGGGTTTTGGTCATATCAAACGCTCTGTTCATCGCCGTGTTTTTAGCGTGCAATGCTTAAGTCGATAACATTTCATGATGCATTTCCTTATACCCCACAACATGCCCCCATTAGATGCCCGTTATATGGTTTTATGCTTGGCGCCCTCTGGCCCAGCGATTTTTTGAACAGCACGTCGCCCCAAAAGCGTCGCGAGACATTTCATTCCAGCACTTCGCCACTGCTGCGTGAACCTTCCCATCACCGTTAACAATCATTTCCTGGAGCGCAGCAGCCGCCTTTCTCGAGCATTGGGTATCCATTCGTAACCTGCGCGCCCATGCAGGTCGAAGAAGGAAACGTCAGGAACGAGCCGACTCGAATTATGATGCGCGGCATTATAACCCGGGTAGCCAGGGAGATGAGCCTCCCTCTTCAAGCATGGGTATACGTTCAGCTTAACCCAGACAACTGGGGTGGGTGGTCAGAGTCACGTACGTTACTGGAGACCACACCCGGAGCATTCATCGCTCGGTTTGGCACGTGCTGAAAAGCGGTCAGAGAACGTTTCCAAGCTGGGTGTAATTGCATCTACTCTCCGGTCCAGGCAGGAGAAGGGATTGCCAGTTTGTGTGGTGTCACTTGTGACCGAGAGCTAAGGTCAGCAAGGGGCGGTATTACCGATCCATCTGGTTGATCTCAGCCCGTTGCAGACGCAGTTCCAGGTGCGTTGCTGCCATTGTGCAGTCTTGATG